TTGCTGTCATCAAGTCGCTGATAACAAGTGAACAAAGCGTTATATCAAATCAGCCGATTTCTATGGGAAACTGGCATGATGTTCCATAATAGATCGTGCCTGGGCAATTTATCACTGATGCAAATAATACATGTTTATTCCTTGAGCAAATACACATAATGGTGAAGATACATTACCACTGTTTGTCGCTAATGCACCAGAATAAACTGTACCTAATAAAGTCAGTGATGAAACAATGAGGTAACAGATAGACATTGCCAATGGTTGTGAACCATGTTAATCAATAGCAATTGAGAAGGAAATAGGATATTGCGTTGATCGGTTTTGTACATGATAATGCATTTGTATAGAGTATCTTCAGCATTCAATTATATTGAACTGCATGGCGGGTTTTGTTAAAGGGACAATTTCAGGCATTAAAAGTTATTAAAATCGGGTTTGCAGATATTTCCGTTCATTTTTCAAAGTCCCTTTTGAAATTCGTGATAAGTTTTGTTTGGAAAAAAAGAGATTGTGGAAACGTGATCGGTGATCAAACGTTAAGTTGTTTCTATAGTTCGCGCATATTGTCAAAATTTATGACATAATTAAACAATCAATCAAACAGTGCATTAAGCAACGTTATAGTATTTCATACCAATACAAATTCGTTAATTTGCAATAAATATTTTAGTAAGGGTATTCAGGAATGTGAAACTAATACAATCAAATTAAATAACACGGAAAATATCATGCTGTGTTCGTACCAATAAAACATGTGTGACAAAATAAATACTTGACCTAAGTAACCAGCATTGATGCGCGCACGTTGATATTTTAATCTTCTGTAAGAATTATTCCAGAGAATTAAGATCAAGCGTAGCCAAATATAACGTAGACCTTAATGAAATGAAAAGAAACTGCATTCGGACCTCAAACTGTTTTTAACCCTTAACATGCTGAATGTGTGTAAAAGGTGTGCCCAGCTTTAAATTTTAAACAGTCCATTAGATTGATAAAAGTTAAATCAAAGAATAATGTTATAAAATATAGTTAGACAGCAGGGGCGATAGCATCAAAAATACAATCACCGAGTAGACAAATAATAGCTAAATAACACTTAAAAACTCAAGTGCGGGTAATTTTTATTGTTGTTAAGATATTTTTTATGAATTGATGCTTTTGTACATTTGTATAAAAATGCATGTGTTTATACATTGCGTGCTTTGGAGAAGCCTAGAGACCCAAATGCTAGTATTCAACATGGAATAACGATTAAAATAATTGCATATTAGGGTAATCACTGAGACAGAAAGATTACAAAGGTAATTGGTGATATGTTTGAAGGTGTATACAGAAACATCAATAAGTCTATAAATATAGCCGATAAACCAATTATATCATACACAAAACGCAATTGAACCAGTAGCTTACTTATAATGCTTTTTAACATTTGAGGGCAAATATTTCAACTGAATCCATAGCCAATTTGCCAACGTAAAATGTTTGCATCCTAGTTAAAATCAAGGCTTAAACTTTGATTATGTGACATGCAATTCTGGTTTTGTTAAACCAATGATGCATATCGGATATCCATTATTTTTTCATGTCATGTCCAGAAAAACGTGACTAATGCCTAATGTATCCTAGTAACCTAACCCCAAACATTTGATACACCTTCAATATTCAGCACTATGTAGGCTGGATATATTAACTAGACTTGCCCAACCTTCAATCTGGCCTACATCTATATTTTAAGGAAAGCAAACGGTGCGAGCCATGATCTGACGTCACACATGACGCGGGGGGCTGACCTTATGTCGTCTGTGGCTTAGTCTGTGATTTTACTTTTAATCATGTAAATGTCAGTTTATGGGTTAAGCATTACAATTCCCACTTTAAACTCAGCTGATAGTCCTAAAAGCCCAATTTTACGCCTAAACTTTTAAAATTCCCTATCAGTATGCCATTATATCACATTAATTATTCAATATTTCAGCTGTCTCTGTTGTGAGTCAATACACCATGAAAGTGTTGGGATATAGATAAGAACTAATTATAAATAAATTATATACATGTATTCGTAATGAATACATAATTTAACGCAGTATTATATAGCAGTTCTATTTATAGAATTATCTTAATAGTGATAATCACGAACACTTAATGTGTCAAATTGTTTTTGAAATACTATCATTAAAATTTAAGGCACATTATACCTCAGAAAAGAATATATTTTGACTTCTTTATATCAGGCAAGCATGAATTATTTAGGATTTAGATAATGGTTTAAGAGCATGTCTAGCGAGTGTTACCTGAGGAAAGTAACGCTAAATGTGAAATCATTTGTCATAAAAGTAGCAAAACGTAAACAAAAGAAATATTTTATCATCCATACAAAATACTTAATCAGATAACTAATTGCAAAATAACAACAGAATGACGATTCGGGTAATTGACCAATGGATAACTTTTTTGAAAATTTAATAATACACAAAAAAATAAAAAGCTTTTGAGAAATAAAATGAAATACTTTCTGGGGCATAATGGGCCTTTAAGTCAGTAATGTCCAATATTATTAAGTTAAATTGTTTATTTATTTGGGGGTATTTATGTTAATTCTAGTTTCATTTCCTTGCTGAATTTATTGTCACGTGTCAGCGCTTAAAAAGTTTGTCGTTTGAGGCTAGTTGGTTCAGGAAAAAAAATCATCGTATATCGAGTTTAAAACGGATTCGGACCTTTCTGTAAGTAATCATAAAAGTGTCAGACCCGAGTAAACCAACATATATAATTCATCTTTAAGGCGAACGATAAACTTTTCAGAATATACCAAAAATAAAAAGGTTTTGAGGAATAAAAATGGTACCAGTTGGTGCTTAATAAGTCTTTAATTAGAAATTATTTCATTTATAGCAACAGCTATATATCATATAAATCATAAGATCATGATAATTAAGAATGCTATCATTAAAGATGATGTTATCATTAAATTTGTCAATTTATTTCTTTTAAGAGCATGTCTCTTCATTAAGTTAATCATGCATATCTATTTAACAGCCATGAGTCATAATAACTCAATTCATTAAAACAATAATCGGAATTATTGCCCAAGCTCTAAATGACATTCTGTTGAATGTTATCGTAGCAATAATTCATTTTATATCGCAACAAATGTCTCAATGTACTCGCATCTTCTTTACCTTATTCAATCACTCAAAAAGAAAACACTTGCTTTGGAAGTGAAAATCGCGTCTTGATTAAAATAAAATTGGACATCGGGCCCTAGAACAACTCTTAAATGTTGAAATTTCCCATAATTCCGTTCTGGAACTCATCGGAGATACCATATCTCTCATATTTATCCACGAGCTGGGAGATAGGGAGAAAATTAAATTCACCCCTCCTGTTTTCTCATTTGCCTAACAGCTAATTAAAAAATAATATGAGAGAATTGTAATGAGGAATTTTAGTATGAACTATAGAGAGTTGAATTTGTTGACTCGATGTGAGTGATATTAACCAGGCATCGCTGCTGTATCGTCCAATGAAAACATTAAACAAATATAGGGAAAATTGGAGAAAATATTACAGAGAATTTCTAATTTAATTAACTTAGGATATTTCCAGTCACAGTACAAAAGAAGGCATAAAATATTTTTAAGTGAACTTAATTCAATAAAATGGTAGAAATATGTTGTAATATTGTTAATAATTGATTGAATTCGTCATGAAAAGCCTTGAACCGTTTAAAAATGTGTGTATACTCGGAATGAAATTGCATGAAACATCTTTTTCGTTAACACCAGTTGTGAGTTCAAAAAAGGAACTTGTAGGCGCGAAAAAAGTTCATCACAAAATATCATAAGCATTTTCTATAATTATGATATTTTCGTTCAATCGTTCGTGTTCATCTCGTTATTTTTTCGTGTTCTTTTCGATCATTATTTCCTGTTATTTTCGTTCATTCTTTCCTGTTATTTTCGTTCATTTTTTCCTGTTATTTTCGTTCATTCTTTCCTGTTATTTTCGTTCATTCTTTCTTGTTTTTTTCGTTCATTCTTTCTTGTTATTTTCGTTCATTCTTCGTGTTCTTTTCGTTCATTCTTTCTTGTTATTTTCGATCATTCTTTCCTGCTATTTTCGTTCATTCTTTCTTGTTGTTTTCGTTTATTCTTTCTTGTTATTTTCGTTCATTATTTCTTGTTTTTTCCCTTCATTCTTCGTGTTCTTTTCGTTCATTTGTTACAGGTTATTTTCGGACATTTTACACTTTTTCACTATATTTTTGTTAATTTACTACGTATTTATTTTCATCCATGTTTTAAAGTTTTATTTTTGTTCATTTCCGACACAATATTTCCATTAATTATCTATGCGTTATATTCATTTTTTTTCGAGACATGTAATTTTCGTTGAATAAATAAATTCAATTTACTACTATATTTCAAACGTAAGATTACGATTTGGAATAAGATTCACCCAGGCAAGCATATGCATAGAGTTATATTTAATAAAAATCTCTGGCATAGTTATTTTCTTCTTTTTAATGTTATGTTAATAGCATCCTTATTTTTGTTTTTAAATGTTACCTTTAATAGCATCCGGTAACTAAGCAACTAATGAGTCTAATAGGCAACAGAAATACCGGAAGTTAAAGGCTGGTAATCAAGTAAACTTATCAATATGTTTATAAATGAACCAGGCTACTGTAGATAAAATTCAGATAGTTCAGATAGCAACACACATGGATTTCCTTTAGCATTTTAAAAGTTTATTTCGTCCGATTTAAGAAGTATTTTATAAGTCTATATTAAAATACGTGTCAGTTCTCTTGAACCAGGTGTTTAAAAAATCTTATTAAAGACGATATTTTCATGACATAAGCGATTCGCTTACGTGAGCAAAAATCAGAACTTGCGCGCAAATTCTGTTTTTGCATTTTTTGAAAAAGACTATAACTATTGATTACGCAATAATGTTTCATAGCACAGTTATATATACATGTATGTAATATTTACCTTCGCTCGCTTTGAATATGCTGAGAAAAACTAGGGCCCCGCAGAAAAATACTGATCTAGTTATAAGAACAAATCGGTACATCTTCTAAACACATGACGTCACTTGGAGATTCTCAGCGTCGTTTGGCCCACAATCACATGGTCGTAATCCTGAAATATTTAAATTCACCACGCTGTTGTATACACACATGATATTGAAACACTGAGAAAAACAAGGTATCCAGCCTATATATGACTGATATAATTACGCAGGTAAATGAAAATCATTATCATATTTATTCCCTCTTCCCTGAAACAAATATCTAATTAATAATAATTTCCTTTTGTGTTTAATTTCCTTCTTAATTGTACACTAAACCACATTCTGACTCAAGTCTACGTATTTCCTATAAAGATAAAGAATTAAAACTACTGCAGAGCGTTGGACGTACAATGATATTCAATAAAATTGTCTCCACTCACATAATTAAATACACAGAACAACAGGTGTTAGTTTCCAACATCATTGTGTGCCAAGTAGCTGAAAGCGCGTATTTTTTTACAACTTGACATAGGAAAAAAACACACGTTGGGTCAATAAACATTATATATTTGTTCTTTAAACAAACAAATTGAGATTTTTTTATATAAAATGTTTATTAAAAAACACTATAAAAATATAACTGGTGAAAACTATACTCGAGTGGTTTTACATGCCAACAGCTGTTTAATTGTGCGGCACGTGTCGTGGGATACTTTTTAAATCATATCTGAAATTGTTATATTAATATCAAAATTTCCTGTACAAAATTCAATAGGCAAAAATATAAACCACGCAACGTGTCAAACATAAACATATGTTAGTTATTTGTTGCTAATATTGAAAATTAAATGTATGTCGTGAAGTTGTATTGTATGTTGTTTCATATTGCACGGTTCATTTTTTTACTATATAATTATATTTGAATAATTTTTGTATTAAATATCAATCATATTCTGTATAGTGTAAAGTGTTACAAGTTACAATTAGCCGAGAAGTATTGTTAACCAGTATGAACAAATGTTATGATATATGTAACAGAGTTTGCATAAGAAATACTTATAAATGTAAGAAACAAATGTACTTAAACAAAGAAGAAAAAATATTTGTTAACGTTGCCGATAAGTATTGTTGACAAATATAAACAAAGGTTACGACATAATTGCATAAAAAATTTAAAAAACAATTTCTATGAACTCAGAACAATGTAAATTATGTTTGAATCATTTTTGCATTAAATATAAATCGAATAAAGTATGGTTACCAATCAATCAATTTACATGTATGCATATCACTATTTTATACATGTAAGGTGATATTTATTATAATTATTTATTTTTTAATAAATGCTTACACTTTTATTTGAAAGTTTAAGATTGTCAGAAATAAATAAGATATAATGGTATTTACGTTGCCATTATTGTATTTTCTAATTACTTTTCAAAAACACTGATGTTTACAGATTTGAGAATGAATTATCGTTTATAATTAAATATCATGATGACAATCAGTAAAACCCACCAGATTGGAACCATTGTGACAGTCTCCCCTGACAGCACGTGATTCTCGTGCTGATGACGAAATCAATGAAGCATGTAGCAGTCTAATTAGATAATATTCGATAGTTTCACCAGTGTCGTGTTTTATTTCTCCAAGGAGATGAGAAATGAGCTGTGCAGATTTTGCAGGAAAATCTCTGGTATTTATTTTGTTACAATTTTTTCATCATTGTCGCTGTTTGGCCAAAATAGCAGTGTATTCTATGTAGTAAGTTTTTGTTTGTGTTTTTAATGTCATTTATACTTGTATACTGCAGTGAAAAAAAGGCCAATATTGTGTCAGAATAACTTTATTGTTTTCTTTTTTTATTTTATTCAAATATAACATTTACCGTGTTCATGGTATAGGAATATACTTATATTACAACATTGTAGGTGAATTTTTTTTATCCACAGTACAATGCTGATGCATTTTCCAATATATAACATAACATACACATACACATACACATAACATAACATAACATAACATAACATAACATTTAACAGAACATAATATGTTAGTGTTTTGTTAAAATTCATTTTAAAAATGGGTTGTAACAATCATATATATTAGCATTAACTCGGGTAAAATTGAATCGAAACCAATCGATCATTTTTATTATTATCATCGTTTATATTATTTTTTTTTATTTATTTATTTATTTATTTATTTATTTATTTATTATTATTATTATTATTATTATTATTATAATTATTATTATTATTATCATTATTATTATTATTATTATTATTATTATTATTATTATTATTATTATCATTATTACATTGTATTATTTTTTCTTTTTTATTTTATTACTATTTTTCTTTATTATTATTTTTCATTGTCTTTTTTTTTTGCTGCAAGCGCTGGGTATAAAAATGGTCATGAACGTGCAGGCGAATATTTTGAACCATAATGTAATGTATGATTTTAAAAAAAAGTTACGTATACAAGTAAATATATGTTATTATGTAATCTTGATCTGGCTAGATTCATTGCTTTATATCTTATAATTGGTTAAAGGCATCGTTTATGGCTATATGCTGAATGAAAAATTAAACAACTGTTTCAAATAACATTAGAAAAGGTCATCGCTTTGTATGAAATTGTTATGCCACACAAATTGTGAGTCAGAAATTGGTCGCTACCTAATAAAGAGCATTGGAAATATATTCTTAAAATGAGACCATTTAGTATTTAATCGAAATTTGTTGCGAATCGAGGGATAAAAAACTGTGACGACAGTGTCATGTTGAGTGAAGTGCCATTAAATGATTTGAAAGATATATTTATGAATTCAGAAAATCGTACAGCGTGTGATGTCACGATAATATGTGATTCCTTAAAGATATGTAAAATAAAATTAATGCATATCAGAACAAGATTCAAAGTTACTTTTCTTTCAACAGATGAAATAAATAGTAGTTATAATATACCAGTAATCGGTATACCTTGCCATTTATGAGGCGACGTTTCACAAAATTTAGTGAGTTTTAAATGCACTACGTATATCCAATAGAAAAATGTTACTGCGCAGACGGATTTTAAACCGTGTTACATAAATACGTTAAATAAATTTTAAAAAAACTATTTGAATTTACGTTTCATGAAATGTTGTTAATGATTGAATTGAAAAATGACACTTATTATTAAAAAAATAAATAATTAAAGTGATACTAAAAGTAGCAGTATCACGTATATTTTAATACTGAGGTTATAGAGATTTTGATAAGACAAAAATGGTAAATTTGTCTCAAAATACAAGATTCATTCTTTTTTAATGTTGCATTTTTAAATTAATAGGAGAGCTCAACTGAAAGTTTGACTCTGTGCTAAATATATCGAGTGCAACTATATTTTCATTTGTAAATCGTTAAATAAGTAAAATTGACACGAAACATAGTAAGTCACTGAAAAAATAAAATAAGATACAATAATTATCAAAATATTTATTGCCCGAGTATGTTATGAATATAGTGGTATATAATTGTATTAAAACGTAACTATATTTGATTTATAAAATATTAAGGTCCACGTGTAATAAGGTTAGAGATAAGCATAATGTAAAGATAGCGTAATGATAATAAAGAGATTTCAAATGATGTCAACCAGTTGTGATATGAGGTTCACAATTTTAAGTTTATGATACACATACAATATTTTTCAATAAATTTAATGCTTTATTTTCTAAAGGTTAAGATATGCTATACTTTCCTGAATTGTTAAATGTTAAAAAAGAAAATATGCTTAATGTTAACTTTTATGTTAGTATTTAGTTAAGATAAATATCTTATATCTAAGATATTTTATTTTAAAATATGATTTAATAAACGACAAGAAATGCGATTAAAAATTTCAACAAACTTACCGCTTGAATGGCAACTTATATGAAAATTGCGTATTCTGTGTATATGAATGCATGGATATCGTTATACTCAAAACTGGCGACATTGTATGATAATGGAATGATTAAAATAACAATGTAAAATCAAAGCATAATGAATATTGTAAAACACTATTTCTATTTTAAATATATTTCTAAAGATATAATTTAAAGTCTAAATCATAATTGTATACAGAGTACCTAAACGAAAACAAAATTGTTTAAAGTCTTTAATATTCCTGTTATTTGCCAGTGAGTAAATCAAAGACCTTCAATGATTTATAATAATTACTAAATATCAGTTTCAAATACGATCGCGTCCGTACAAATTACAAAAGATATACATCTAGTTAGTTATTAAAATGAAATGGCAATTATTTCAGAAAATATATGGTTTAATGTCAACATAAAGTAACATCTTCGAAATTACATTGAACTGTATATAACAAAACATGTTTCGCAATCATGCACATATGGCGAGATATGGGTTTGATGTTGTCGTTGTTTTTTGTTTCAAATTGAAATGCAATGTTTATCAATTACCAATTGGAGGCAGCTGTTCTTGGGGAATAGCAATGTTTTACACTAATACAAGCTAGCAAATGTTATAATGATGTATTTCACTCCAAACAAATCAATGAGAATTTCATATCTAATGAAATTGTAACGTGATATGCACGCATCGTCTTAATGAAAATTACAGAATGATACGAGATACTGCAAGCTCGCATGTGCCCCTTTTGTTTTCATTACAAAAATCGTATGAAACTTTGTACGGCATTACGGCACTGATACTCGTGAGGCATTGAGATCAAGTACAAAACTGTTATGAATTATTTAGTATATAACAAAATAGAGAAGCCAGGGTCTTGTCAAGTTACTGTACATTCCGTGACTAAATGTAATTTAGAAAGAAAGCCCCGTGCATGCACGTTGACGCCCGGTAGCCTATTGTTCTACTTTAGATGACGATATACTGTTTTGTTTAGTTTTTAAGTTGTGTTTTTACAGGATTCGTTTGAAGTACCAGCCGCCGTTGAAGTGTGTTTCAAATGCCAGAGGTTCGGGAAAAAATGTTCATGAGGGAAAATTCCATCTTTGATCTTTGATAATATCCTCTCAAATTAATTGCATTCGGTAATTTAATAAAGCTAGGATATAGACTCTGCTATGTAAACATTTCGTGATTAGCGGTAAAGAAATATTACTAGTACTTATTTTTTACAACAAATGCTATACTCACAATATCGTTATTGGGCATAATTGTGTTTGTTTTGACCATACTTTTGCGTTATATTATTGTTTTTTCTTTTGTCATTTTATCAAATTGTATGTACATGTACATTTCATTGTTTTTTATCGGTCATAAAATAAAAGTAGAGGAAAAGTTGTAGAACAATGTGGCACAAAAATACACATGTATCAATCAATACGTAACACTTTTGTATCTGAAAGTTCAATCCTAACTCTTCGCTATTATCATTCCTGTAACTTTTTTTCCCCGGACTATTCCATGAAGCCGAGGTATCGACCTTTCCTATTCATATAATCTAATATAAAATCAAAATATTTTGTTGATCCAGATCAAAGTATAGGACAATTACCATGGTTTAAAATAATCATTGGGTAAGTTTGATTTAATGGCGACTTACAAAGGGCAATTTCCCTTGTATAAAACAATAATTGGGTAAGTTTGATTTTACGGCGACTGGACACACAGAAAATGTCCAATGTTAAAATGACAATATTTTTATAGCCGAGTGCATTGTTACGAAGTATTTGAAATATTCGATATGTAAGACTTGTATAAGCATGGTAATATTAATCAAATGATTAAGAAATCATTTTTGAAATGATTTTATGATATAACATTGAATTATATACTGTACCGAATATTTGTACTATACCAAAGTGTTACTAGAATGAGTGGCAATAAGGTAACATCTTACAAAACATTGCACCACAATTATGATACAAAGAATAATTTCTGAAGCAAGTAACTATAGTATTACACGATACCAATGCATCGACAAATCTAATATAAAATCATACTATTTTGTTTATCTAATTTAAATATGTAAAATAGTCCTTGTGTAAGTTTGACTTTACGGCGACTGGACAAACCGACAATGTCCTATGTTAAAATGACAATATTTTTACAGCCTAATGCATTGTTTCGAAGTAACTGAAATATTCGATATGTAAGACTTGTATAGGGAAGATGTTAAATCATGGTTATATTGATTAAATGATTAAGAATTTATAGTTAAATGAATTGATTATATTACATTGATTTATATACCGAATATTTGTACGATCAAAGAGTGACTAGAATGAGTGGTAATAATGTAACATCTTACAAAACATTGTACAACAATTATGATACAAAGAAATAATTTCTAATACTTGTAGCTATTACATGATACCAATGCATCGACTGATCATACAAATTAAAATCTAATATAGAAATCAAACTATTTTGTTTATCTAGATCAATTTATAGGACAATTACCATGATGTAAAATAATTATTGGGTAAGTTTGATTTTACGGCGACTGGACACACAGAAAATGTCCTATGTTAAAATGACAATGTTTTTACAGCCTAATGCATTGTTACAAAATAACTGAAGTATTCGATATGTAAGACTTGTATAGGGAAGATGTTAAAGCATGGTAATATTGATTAAATGATTAAGAATTCATGGTTAAATGAATTGGTTATATTGCATTGATTTATACCGAATATTTTTACGATCTAGGTGTTACTTAAATAAGAGTCATTATCTTCTTACAAAACATTAAACTACAGTGATACAAAGAAAAAATTTCTGATACATGTAATATTCTCATAATGATATTATAGATAAACATATCATACACTTATTTTCTCTGTCTGCAAGATAAAATCAAAATAATTCGTATTAATATTAACAATATTTGCGATTTAAGTTCTAACGATAAATTTCTTTTTTTAAACCATAAATTACCATTTTTACATTTGTTAGATTATATTGTATACAAATCTGAACTTATTATTTCGTGCACAACCAGCAAAAGTTTTGTTTTTTATTCTTCTATTATTCTATCATTTTGTTTCAAAGACATAAACCGAAATGCACACCGTTGAATTAAACATGTTAACATGCGTTCGCATTACCCTTCCAATTGTTTATTTATTTATATTTTCTGTTATGTTGACTGTAATGGAAATATTAAATATTGTAATAGTTTATTTTGTAACCGGAAGCTATGAGAATGGTAAGACGATAGCAGACGACAATATTGCAGCTTATATTTTGTGATATATTATTTCGGTACTTCAAACAAAATACTTGCTTGAAAGCTTAGATTTATTCATTATTAAAGCCCGTTTAGTTTCTGAATAAATCCCCATTCTTTACGATGCATGCATTATTTATAGTTTTACTTTTGTTTTGCCTCTGGAGATAAGGACTATTTGCAACACGATAGCACGGCAAGCATGTTTTCAAATATATCAGAATAACATCGCAAGGAGTATTAAGTGCATTTCCATTGTTTATCTTTCTAACATGATCTTTCCCCATATTATTATGTTGCTAACTTATGACTATTTTATATCGACATATATATTACAAAATGTTCTACGCAATCGCATCGTTTAACTTGTTGTTAGGAAAAGTTATCAAGTCATTTGAAACTGTTTTGGCTATAAAGTGTAAGCGTACAATACAGTTATAATTAAATGTTGATATCTTGAATAAAATATATGTTATAATAAATGTTATTAAATAGCATTGTAAAATTTAATGTTGAATTAAATACATGTTATTTTTTCTATTATTAAATAAAAACAAATATTTCATTTACCATATCTATTTATAAGGCGTATATTTACATAATTATAACACGATCCAAAACATTGAATTGCTTAATTTTGACTTATATCACAAACTTAATAGCAACATTATTAGTATACGTTTCCAATGTTTTATTTTTATTAAAGTCATTTACGTTAAAACGTCTGTTTCCTTATAAAGTTTTGTTGTTGTTGTTTTCTTACGTATATCGTAACCGTTGTAATTATGTTCTTCTATTTATAAAGTTTACATCTGCTACAAACTTTTGATGAAATCTAATTTCAGATATCAAGACCTTTGAACTTTAACCAAATTTTATATGTCTGAACAACCGTTTCTAAAGATATGACGACATAATAATAGTGTTGATATAATTAATTTATCATTTTGATATGCTTTAGATATATCTCAACCATGATTGAAAAAGGAAATAGATAAATAAAAAGCACAGAAAAGATCTTCGTTACTCATCCATTGCTTTAATTTTTATACGTAACTATTTCAATTCATATTAGATCTCACAACATACAATATTTCGGCAACTGATATATTTAATCTATAGGCATTATTTCTTTTAGTTTTCTCAATAGTTTACAATCCTTTGATCTCTGTGAAAATAAGCGAATTTAGAGTATATAATAGTAAAAATAAAAACGGACTGAAAGCTCGACTGTCTTCATGTATTGAAAATGATGAAAAGAAATTCTTACCATATTCTGTAAATAAAAATCCATTCCAAGAACATAACCTTTAACATTTTGGAATTATCACAATATAAGCAGATGTAAAAACATATCACTTCATTTTTCAGTACATAAATTGGTTTCAGCACGGAATATTGTAAGAACTTTGCCTTTTTTAAAATTCCACTGTCAACGCGACATTCAACGGGTTTATTTTCGATGCAAGAAGAATAAATCAAAAACGGATCAAAGTTTTCGAAATTTTTGTTACAGAAAAATGTATCCAACAGGGCGTATGAATATTAAACATGACTGTTAGTATGCTAGGATCATTATCAAATTAAATATCTAGATGAAAAGTTGAATGTTACTGCACGAGATGTAATTAGTCGCCCGTCTCCGTCTGCTGTAATGGAACATTGGTGTATTCGCGCGCGTGTCACTGCGCGTCATGTTTCGGATATTGACCAATGATCGACTAGTGACTCTCGTTTCATTGCCTTTCATACAGTGGTGAAAACAGGCGCGTGTCATCTAAACTTAATCTTTTTTCCCAACCGGCACCTATTTCCTTTTAATTACAATTTCATCACTAAGTTGACAGAGGAGCCGTATTGGAATGGAATTGGAAACAACTTTAATATCAATCGAATTCTAGTTGATATCAAGTTAGTTTTATTTCAGATTTACCGCGTGACCTTACATAAAAGGAAATAGCAATAGTTCAAGGGAAATGTATCTTTTTTTTCCTCATATGGTTTTCGCTCAATCAAAAATATTACATCTAAAAGTACGTTATTAAGTACTATCAATTAATATGTCTATTTAGATGCTATAATACAAATATATATACCTTACATTAATATGTACTTTTTTATTTATATAAATGTCAGCATTCCTTTAAATAGTATAATATTCAGGATGATGTCAGTGGTCTATCAAAAAGGTATAGTGACCGCCTGAGCGGGGCATTATTATGTTTTTGTCGGACCGCTAAAATTTAGTGGCGTGTAATCGCGAGGACTGTTAAAAAAATCGCGTTATATAAGCTGACTACCAACATTTTTTGTACATTTAACAAGAAATTTTGTGATTGAAACAATATGATTTCAAACTATAACCACGATGTTCTAAGAAAGTGCGGTTTAATATAAAAATAGCACACAGTACTTCAGGCCTCATAGCATTAGTGACCTCCATGTCAGCCACAAACATTGATCGGACCTTAGCCTTTTGAGGGCTGCCTCATCGGTCATTATAATGCTATGATACTCTCAGTGCCGTGTACGTTTTTATATAGATATGTCAAAAAGAGCTTAAGATAGCACATCAGGATCTCTAAGTTAAAGCTTATTTAACGACAAAATTCATAAAATTGCTCTGCAAAATGTAGAGATGTGTCAAATATACTTAAGGTATGACCATCATAACGCCAACCTTTAAAAAACAAAAATTCTCAAGATATACTTTAAAGTCATATCGTCAGATCATTCAAAAATTGTTTTTACTTAGTTACAACTTACAAATGGTACTGAAATAACAAATGAAGCCATTTGTAACCAGGAAAAAGCCAAGCGTAACATGCTTGTTTAAACAATTTAACGTTTATGAAGGAAGCGTTTAATATGAGAAATTCTTTTTTTAGATTATTTTTCTTTTAAGATATTTTGAGATTATTTATTAACCAAAGTATAAATATTTGTTGTTTTTTTTGTTGTTGTTTTTGTAAAATGTACGTGTATAGCTTGACCATACTAAGTATTTGTTAATGGCCAAAGGCATTTGAAATGCCGATTTGGCAATAACAATATGATAAATAATGTTAACATGAAAATATTTCCTAAACTGTGTTCCTATGTTTTACAATTTTCAATGTTTTGTTGATTTATCTGTAACTGTGCAGCTTTAATAACATATTGATACATCTTGTGATAAAAAGAAGTTTAACATAACGATTTTAAAATCTATGTTAAATATGTGTGTACACAATTCAGTAAGAAGTAAAAAAATATCAAAATTTTGCACTTACCCACTTTATAACCAGTTGATAGTCTTTCGTGAAATTATTAACATATTAGTTTATAAATATTTGGATAATGTTGCGAATTGGCTTGCTACTTTGTATCATTTTGATATTTGAATAAGGTAGTTATTTGGTAACCGCAATAGGGAAGACAAAACATCGGATTGATTTTTATGATAATGATTAGGTAATCGCATCACATGACTCATCGCAAAGTTTTTTTTTGTTTTTTTTTGTTGTTTTTTTTGTTATCATTTGCAGTTTTAGTTAGCTTTGTCATATTTCTTAATTCAGAGTTAATCATATATTTATATATTTAAAAATCCCTTCTAAAACATAATTTATATTTGTTTTACAATGGCGCTACATTCACCAAACGCTACATAATAATGTCAGAATTCCGTACATTTAAATCTTAATAGTACTTTTCTAATTAAAATCTAGAGTATAGAAACTTCACAGGATATCAGTCGCTAACCTACACCGCCGGTGCAATGCCAATGATTTCATTACCTCACAGCGTAATCAACGTTGCTGATAAAATTCAAATTTAATCATAAGACGCCATGTTACATGCATGGCTGATTGAATTTATGAGGACACCTGGAAAATCTCCGCAAACCAGGAAAATAGGAAAATTCAATCAATAGGGTCATTGATAATATAGATCTGGCACTCTAGCGCTGTCTAATTGCCTCTAGATGTCGCTGTAACCGGTACTCCGACGACAGGCAGCGTCACTCTGCCCTGCATTAAAACCCGTCCGTTTCCGTACTTGTTTGCAGACGTAATAGATATTTATTGTCGCAAAGCATACAAAAGTGCATTAAAACGCGTCCTTATAGCTCCGCGTGTGTTTGCTTTTACGTCGTAAAGTATGCACATAATGTATAAAACAATGCTGTTGAAGCCGAGATTCAGTTTCCTGAAACAACTGATTCATTATAGGACAAATTAGCAATTACTGGTGACAATTTATATCGTGATGAAAACGTATCACAAGTGAAAATGTCATTTATTCCCTACGTTTTTATGCACATGCATGGTTTTATGTTGTTGTTTTTTTGTTTTTTTTTACTGCAACGCATGAGAACGTTTTGTAAAGCAGGTTGTGAAGGTTTGTTTGTTTGTTATTGTTTTTGTTGTTGTTGTATTGTTGTTGTTTTTGTGGTTGTTTTGGGGTGGGGGGGAGGGGGTTCATGATCCATGTTGTGAACCTAAAGTTCATGACGAATGCCCTGCATACAACATTCTGCATTTACACTCTCTTATGAAAAGTTTTATGCTTAATACACTAGTATTTACATCTTTATTTTAATCATATTTTAATTATTTATATATTATTATATTTTTACTAATTATACTAATATGATATTGTAATTATGATATATAAATGTATATACATGACTGTATATACTTAGTTTCAAAAGAATCTTTGCACTCGATTACAGAGATATTTAGTGTACTTATGTAAGCAAATACTGGCTCATTTGGTATCATAATAAATCAGAAATATACACGATAGTTCACATTGTATTGAAATTTGATTATTATCAGAACTGAACTTTGATAACGTGTAAACAACTGAGGGTAAAAACTTGCAGAATTGTGTTTTTTTTGTACATGCGTTTTTGCCTTTTGATACTTGAATTTTTGGAACTGGACATTTATCAACACCCAATTCAATATGAGGTGACGTCAATCCATGCAGTGTCAAACATTTTCGTTTATCCATTGACGAGATGGACGCAACAGACACTGATTTAACTGTCACCCCCATCCCTTTCCAAATAAAAAAAGAAAGAAAGGAAAGAAAGAAAAGATGAAAGAAAACAAGTTAAAAAGTCACAATTCTGCAACATATACTTTTCGCCCTTCCGCTATTTACGCGACGCCACAATTGTGATAATTATCAAATTTCAACAAAACGTAAACCATTGTGTGGTCAATAAAAGACACCACATTTGACAGTATACAGTAATGTCAATACAGCTCAAGTCAGTATACAGAATGTCCAAGTAACCAAGTTCAATCTTTCTTTTGCAAAAAAATATTGTCTCGAACTTTAAATCTTATGTCCCGGGTATGGTATATCGGTTTTGTTGGCATGTAAATGTTATTCATACTTTAATTATTTATATATATCACAATACTATTTTTTCTAATTATACTAATAGACCACATACTATTTAATATAAGTGCGTTTGTATTAGTATACAACAACTGTAGGGTTATTATACATACGAGGCAATTGGTATAAATATTCACATCATGTTTTATTTAATCTAATACGTAAAACAACACATGCCCTGGGAAAATAGAGTATTGATTCAATTAAAGTAACATCATAGTTTAATTGGAAAAAAAAACAGAAAGCTCCACGAATAGAGGTTGTTTTGATTGGTTTGTGATATTAAGAACAATTAAACAAACACTGAAATTAAAATTAAAGCTATACATAGTCAAGAATAAGATAAATGGAAACGTGCACAATTTCTGACGCATACGTATATTAACCGATATGAATAAATGCAGACACAACGAACATCTGCTGATCACCGCAGTGGACTGAGCGTTTACAAAACTTTTGGTTAAAAAAATTGATAAAAACAGAAATGTACCAATTAAAAAAAAACAGTCACATAATAGTTATAAATGTGTGTCCTGCGGATGTGGTGTAATGGGCTCGTCCTTCTTTGAAGTTGGATCAGTCCTATAGTGTTTAAGGGGTTTCAAAATTAAAATAACCTTTAATTCAGTACCTATATTGTAGGTATAGCCTGTCCAGCCGCTGCCACATACATTACGAAGTTCTTGACAAAAGATCCGTGAATTTATTTTTAGTAAACATAAACGTGAGTTTTTGGTGTTGATGTCATGGCAAGTTTATTTTACTGTATTATGTAACCTTTTGTAATAAAATAAAGATATATCTATTCAGTAAATTAGGAATAATTATATGTATTTTTACATTATATATTTTTCTTAAAATAAATGGTTGCAAATAAATTAAACAACCGCCGAATGTCAATGTTGTATATAAGGTTAAATAATTAAATCAACACGCTGTGTATGTTTTTTTTATTATTATTATTTTCTATGTTGAAACATCTTCCATGTATTATATCAAAACTCATGAAAAGGGACCAGTACAATACGCCGATATTTCTGATGACCTAGGAAATAATAATGATAAAAAAAACAACAACAAATAAAACACGAACTAAGTGTTGACCTATGCAGCGTGTCATTTAACCTTTAAGTAGAAATCGCTGTTTTGTCGTGTACTTTTAAAGAGAATTGTTTATTTTTCCCACAGAACAGAAATTTCTTTAAAAATAACACTTATAAGAAATCGATGAGAAACCGGGTACCATTATTGACAAATCATTGTATCAAAACGTTTGCTTTCCACTTCTCAGCGTCTTAAAGGTATCGAAATATCACGAGGAAACACAAGTGTCACATGTCATGGTCCTGTTG